AGGCCTTGAGAGAACTTGATCATGTCCACAACAGTTAAAGGAATCCCTTGCTCGGTGAGTTTTTGAATGACAAACTCGGATAATTTATACGAGTTTGCAGAGCAACCCAACAACCTTCAAATGCATCTTACTACTATTCGGCCTGCTTGATGGCCTAGGCCTTCTTAGTGTTTACTGAGCTTATTGGACATTTTTAGGCCATGGTAACCAGTTCGTTGACTTGCTTATAACCTGATAATCTGTCAGCTAACCAGACCAATCTAGATATTTGTAGGCCCATTTGAAGTTTCATGAGCTTATTAGACTTCTTGGGTTCCTATAGAATTCACAGGCTCCATCTCGTATCTTCGCTAGGAAATCAGTGAGCATAAATCTAGATTTTTTATGTTTTACTCCTGATTAGATCCATACATTTTATAGACTATTTTTCTCATTTTCTCGAGATCTTTAGATAATATATCATGATTTTTAAAGTTAGATTGACTTTTGTCATAGGTACTAAAATTATTACAAAATATACCACAGTGACATTATTTAAATTTTGTGTATTGAGTAAAATTATATTTGTATTTTGTGTATTTCATTCGGTATCTTTAAATTTTGTGATAGTTTTATAATTTTTTATGTATATATTTATAATTTTTATAATTTTTAAATATTTTTTAATGTGACATTTTCTATAATAATTTATGTTTAGTGGCATATATCAATCTAAGCTTAAAACTTATAGTATTCCTGTAAAGTGCCCCATTTCCCCCTATCTTGGTTCGTTAACTATTTGGGCCATGTGCCTCTCTTTTTTGACCATAGCCCTCGTATTGTTCATGTGAAGGGACTAGGCTCTCTTTTTAGTTCGGCTTTGCACCGGCCTATGCTATGCGACTCCGTGACTATTCATAATTCGATCAACTTAAAAAAAAAAAAAAAAAAAAAAAAAAAAAAAAAAAAAAAAAACAACAACAAACTCTTCACATGCGGACACAATTTTTAAATCTTCCAATGCTTTTTTAAGTCTTTTTTTTTTTAATACACATGCATATTTCTTTGAAAATGACTCACATGAATCTATAGAAGTGGCTATGCAACATGCAAAAGAAGTGGCTATGCAACACGCGAAAAGTTAGTCCAACTTTACTACGTGGGCTCATTGTGGAATTTCTTCTTTGATCCTTCGAAGAAAATTGTCCACATAACAATTAGATTCTTGAAATCCAATTGTAAGCCTTACTTCTAAGTTCTAACATAAATAATGTCAATCAAATTGAACTTTCACAAGTCCTACACGCCTGGTGTATATAGGACTTTCCAATCCTTGATTCACTTTCGATTTGTATAGATTCATAGAAGAAACTATCCAATTAGAGATGGAATCATAGGATTTTTTTTATAAAAAAAAACTCAATTAAAGTTTTTATATTATGGCCTGTTTAGTTCGCTGATTCGAGTTTTTAATTCGAATTGAGATGTGATATTATGTGAGAGCTTTTTATAATAAAAAAGTTAAATGTGACTGTTTCTGAGAGCTTTTTACTATAACAAAACTCAAATTGGTGAAATGAACGGAGCCTTAAAGTTTCTTCTCCATTAATGAGTGAATATCACAAGACTTTTATACTTGTGAATCTATGCTTTTAGGCCGTCAATCTTGTCGGATGACACAAGGTGAACTAGAATAGGCTGATTAATCCATGTAGCGACAAGCTCCAATCGAAAGGAACCGCGCATACGCTAGAAAGACGTATAGGCAAACCTTTCTTTATGATCATATGGATCGCTTTTCGTGACTTTTCTTTCCATAGGCATACATTGCAGTCTAACCTGCTTTCTAACTTTAGGGGACTGAGAATCAGTCTTTTGATCCTCCTCGAGCCTACTCTCGTCTTTCGAATTAAGCTTCCGATTTAGTTGGTGCAGACGCTGAAGGATCAGCTGACACTAGATAGGAAAGGGTTTCGATCAAAGCTCTCGAACCTGTTCCGAAGTCAGTTTAGGAATCGGTTTCCGATCTGGTCCATTTCTGTCCACCGCCCTTCTCACAGAGCCGTACGTGGACGTTACTGCTCATACAGCTCACAGCCAGCAAGCAGTTAGCCTTCCTCTACAAGGAATGGAAGTGTGGATGAATCGACATCAAATAGAGGAATTCAGTTTTTATTTTTTATTTTTTTATTGAGCCGGATGAAAGGACCGGTTGTTGACGCAGTCGGTGCCAGTAGCAGGCATAGAAAGGGATACTCATCCTTCTTATATTCAAGTGCGGACCAACACCATTCGAAGGTGGGTGGCCCGCTAAAAAAAATGCTGAACATATCAAAGTTATCAAAGGAGTTGTTGCTGCTCCAAGGAGCTCCAGCAGTTCCCCATTTGGTTTTGGCATTTGACGGCCTATTCTTTTGTCAATTTATACGAAGAAGTATCTACATGAATTGTTATAGCTTTATGAAAAAGTCTCTGCTCAATAAATAAATTGTCAAAATCGGATAATTAGAACCACAAAACCCATCTTACGAAATAGACACAATTGAATAGTATCGTTGTATTATTAATTCTTGAAAATATTAAGATTGTCGTCCTTCAAATGTTGTTTATATGTATACTGTTAAGTACATAAGCGATTGCTATTGCATTCTGTCTTATTTCTTTATTTCTTTATTTATTTTTATTTTTTTGTACTTTCGGTAATGAAACATCTCAGAGAATGTATTATCCTCCCCAGAGAGCTTGGTTTTTGAAATCTCATTATAGAAGAAAATGATGAACATTTATAATTTTATCAAAGAAAAATAATCTGATTTAGTTGTAGGCATACTTTTTGAAATTTTTAATAGAGGTGTAACAAGTAGAACAAACGGTGGTTTAAAAATGTACATGTGAAAAGTAGAATATAAGGTAAATTAGTTAGATGGATTTTTTTTAAAAATTTTAAGAAGGACATAACAAGTAGATTGAAGTAGGTTGATTGGTGGTTTAACAATTGTGTGTAAAAAGTACACATATCTGATTGCCCGAACATCGGGCTAGATATTACAACAAAATATGTGACTTGTATCTTTCTTTGACTTTCGCCATATCATTTGAGGGAAAGAACTACCGAACCAAGGTCTTCCATGTTCACCTAGAGTTGGTGAATCCGACTTTCTCTTTGCAGGTATGTGATTACAAAATTCAAACTGTTTTCTACCTAATTTCAGTCATTCAGAGGAAGCATGTTTGAAATTTTTCCCCTTTTTTTTTTTTTTTTTTTTTTCCTAATCGAAATCGAATATACTCCTAGTACAACAATTTTTATAAGCAAAAAGTAAACCATCTCAACTATGTTTTCCAATTTCCATTCCTCTTAAGTTTATATCTTAGAAAGACAAACTTATTTGGCATCATAAAATAACAAAGGCATCTTCACGGTCAAATATGCGCCTTGCCTACTTCTAATTCTTTAAAATTGGATAACAAATCATTGATGACCCGTTTAATTCTTTAATTCGAGTTGAGATGTGATTTTATGTGAGAGTTTTTAACTGTAATAAAAAAGTTAGATGTAACTATTTCTGAGAGCTTTTTATTAGAACAAAACTCAAATTATAAACTCGAATCAGTGAAATGAATGAGACCTAAAATTAGAGCATTAAACGGTGATCATAAAGGATTTGTAATGGCAACATTAGCTTCCAATAAAGATAGAACCTCTCCCCCACATGAAGAGGAAGTTTTAGCTCTAAGTGCAAGTCTCAAATGGGCTAAGACATTAACCAGTTGCCATTTATTTTTTATCGAGACTCTCTGAAGGAATTTTTAAGCAGTCAATTCTAATTCCTCAAATTCATTAGAGTTTAGAAATCTTGTAGTGTCTTCTCTTTTTATTTATTTATTATTATTATTATTATTTTTTTGCCAAGATGTTTAGTTAGCCATGTCTTTTTTTTTTTTGGGAGAATTAGACTATTTGTTAAGCCATGTCTTTAGATCTTCTAATAATAAAGCAATACAATGATTAAATACGCCCTTTTTAGGAGTGAAGAAGACATTGCGTGTTTGGAGAATGGTTCACTACCTTGTATGTGTTGTATTATTATCACATTCCAATAAAACAAAAACATGATAATTTGAGGTAATTTAATAAAAATCTGATTTTGTCCTACTCACTAAAAAGAAAACTCTTTTGGCACCCCACTAAAATTTCTCCCAAACAGTATATCAAGCAAATATTTTGGATACAAATCACGACTCATGTTTATAAAAAAAGATTAATTATAAAATTTTTTTCTGAATTATACTTTTTATAATATTTTACTTTTTCATCTTTAAAACGTAATATTTATTTTTTCTGAAGAATAAAATATTAATAAAAAAAATTTTTTATTAAATTTTTAACTAAAATTGACATTTAATTTACTATTTTAAAAGTATTTAGTAATTATATGATTTAAAATTTAATTTAAATATTTAAATATTTAAATAAAATCATAAAAATTTGTATTCTACTAAAAAAAGATTCATAAAATTTTAATTTATGTTGAATGAATAATGAATGTATTGTAATTAAGAGTTTAAATTTAAATTAATTTTAAATGCAAATTAAATTTTAATCAAGAGGAGTTTTTGCAATAAATCTAAAAAAAATTAGATATTAACTTATATAATCTCAAAAAGAAAGAACGAAAGAAAAAAAAAACCGAAAGAGGCACAAATCACGCTTTACATGAATTTATGTATATACTAGTGGCCTCGTTCGTTTCGCTGATTCGAGTTTAAAATTCGAGTTTTGTTACAGTAAAAAGCTTTCACAAACAATCACATCTAACTTTTTTACTACAATAAAAAATTCTCACATACAATCACATCTCAACTCAAATTCTAAATTCGAATCATCGAAACGAACGAGGCCTAGTGATTTGAAAGAAGAAATGGTGTGGAAGGTTGGAAGTGAGTGGATGAGGCTAGAGAGAGATAGAGAGAGGAGAGGAGAGAGAGAGAGGACTTCCATTATTAACGTGGCGTGCATTCACTTCCCATTATTTCTTCTGCTGCCTCAACGACCTCCATTCACGCGTTTTCACTTTCTCTCTCTTCGCTCTAAATTTGGATTTTCAAATTTGGAGTTTAGAGATAGAGAGGAAAAAAAAAAAGGAAAAAATAAATAAATAAATTTGACAAGAAATTTTCAGAGTCAGTCGGTTACAATAATCTCTCCTATCAAGATTCGGTCTCCTTATTCCCCCAAAAATTCCTCATTCTCGTTGTCTGCTTTATTTCCAATCTCAAATCTCTCTCTCCCCATTTATCTCTCTAGAAGAAAATTTCTTTCGCATTCTCTCTTTCCTCAACAGAATGGGTTTCAAATCCCTGTTTGGCCGGAGAAAGAAACCGGATTCCTCAACTGCAAACCCTAATCCTTCGCCGGCGGAGGTTCCGTTCGCTTCCCGATCGCCGTCCGTCAATGGCCGCGCTCAGATCGAGGAGCTCGAGCAGGTGTTCAAGAAATTTGACGTCAACGGCGACGGCAAGATCTCTTCGTCGGAGCTCGGCGCGATAATGGGGAGCCTGGGACAGCCGTCCGGCGAGGAGGAGCTTCGGAAGATGATCAAGGAGGTGGATTCCGACGGTGACGGCTTCATCGACTTGAAGGAGTTCATCGAGTTGAACACCAAGGGCGTGGATTCCGACGAGGTCCTGGAGAATCTCAAGGACGCGTTCTCGGTCTACGACATCGACAAGAACGGATCGATTTCGGCGGAGGAACTGTACGAGGTGCTGAGGAGCCTCGGCGACGAATGCTCGATCGCCGAGTGCCGGAAGATGATCAGCGGCGTCGACTGCGACGGCGACGGCACGATCAGCTTCGAGGAGTTCAAGGTCATGATGATGACGGGCTCGCGGTACGATGCGTTGTCCCAGCGATCAAAGAATTGAAAATTTCTCGACGGTTTTTTAATATTTTCGCTTTGCATTTCTCTATAAATTAGGGTTCTTTTTTGTTCTCTGATGAGTAATGATTTTTTCAACCTAGGCATTTTTTTTCCCAATGGTGGGTCATGTAATGGAATTGTGAATATTTTTGGAACGTTTTGGATATATAAAATTTTAATGGAATTTAATGGTTTTCCAGTTCCCAATTGTGAATATTCGGATAGTTAATTTTTTGTGGATATGCTTTGAAGATTGAAATTGTTTGTTATTGATGCAAATTGTTTGTTTTTTCTTTATGGTTGTGGCGGACTTTATTAATCATCTTCCAACACTTAATTCAATGGAATTTTGATAGTTTCTTGTTTGTTTCCCAATCCTATAATTGGGGGGTTTTGTTTTGTTGGTGGAAGCAGAAGTCAAAAAGAAAGGAGAACTGCACAACTGATTTTCATCGTCTTGAGCCCCGTTTAATGTCTTTTTTTAAAAAAAAAAAAAAGTAAGAAATGCTCGACGTATTGGGCAACGGCTCGTTAATTAAAATTACGAAAATAATAAGCAAAAAAACAAAAAACAAAAAACTTCTAAAGATGTTGTCGTTGCAGAAAACGACATTGATCTTGTTGATGTGTTCAGATTAACTCGAGGCTGATTTAAGTTTTTATAGTTAAATTTTTTTAGAAAATATTAAATTTTTTTATTTATTTTATGATTCAAATTTAAAATTTAAAATTTATTATTATAAAATTTTTTTATTAATTTTTTTATTACAGTAAAAAGAGTTCACATAAAATTACATTTTAATTTAAATTAAAAATTTAAATCAAAGAATTAAACATATTCTAAGGTCTTGTTCATTTCGGCGATTCGAGTTTTGCTACATTAAAAAACTCTCAGAAACAATCACATCTAACTTTTTTGCTACAGTAAAAAGTTCTCACATAAAATCACATCTCAACTCGAATTAACGAACTGAACGGACATTTTTTTATAAAGTTTGAATTGAAAACTTGAATCTTATGCCTCGTTCATTTCACCGATTCGAGTTTTCAATTTTAGATTTTTACAGTAAAAAGTTTTCAGAAAATGTCACATTTAACTTTTTCTATTACAGTGAAAAGTTATCAAAAAATGTCACATCTCAGCTCAAATCGAAAACTCGAATCCGTAAAGTGAACGAGGCGGCCTCGTTCGTTTCGCTGATTCGAGTTTAGAATTCGAGTTTTATTATAATAAAAAGCTCTCATAAATAATTATATTTAATTTTTTTATTACAGTAAAAAATTCTCACATGTAATCACTACCTACTTGTTTAACTCTACGCCGTAACAAGGAAAAAGTAGGCAGAGAGACTATTTGAGGAATAGAAAAATTGAAGGGAGGACACAACACCATTATTCTTGTTCTTGCTATAAGGTATTTAATCCAGCTACACCTTTGGCCTGACCAATCCGGCGGAAAAATAACAACCACACGATCAAAATAGACGGTCAGAAGTTAATGAGGGAGGAGCAAAAAGAACGCCTATAAATGTAGGTGTAGTACATTTGATGCTTAGGGAGGCAAGTAAGCAGAGGATGTCAGGCCAATGTTGACAAATGACACATGTGCATACAATGCCTCAATTTCTGTAAGTAGTTTATGACATGCTGAAGGGTTTAGATGTAAATCTAGTCAAATAAAACGGTATTTTGTATAGTTTGCAAAACATAAAAACGTGAAAGAAAATGAAGATGCAAGAAATAGGGTAGTTAGTGTGACCATGTACTTACCAGTATGTAGTAGCAGTTGGGGACGTCTGTAACTTCGCTGAAACCCCGTTGAATAAGTACATAGCTAGAAGTACAACAACAGAAGATACAGAATACGTTTAAAATGTTTTAAAATAATTTTATTTTTTATATAAAAATAAAAATAAAAATATTTTTAATTTTAGAGAGAAATTATTTTTAAAAATGTGTTTGATAGTTTTATTAAGATATTATTTTTAATATAAAAAAATCTATTAATGTCTCCTTTTCTTTTTCTCAACTCTAAAGAGGAGAAAATAAAAATAAAAAATAAAAAACGATTAAAATTTTTTTTATATTTATTTTGAGTTGAGATGTGACTTTAGACCCGTTCACTTAGAGCCCTACACTCGAATAAACTGATTCGAGTTTTTTTTTGGGCTGAAATACGCGTTCGCTTACTCAAATTTGAGTTTGAAATTCGAGTAATAACTCGAGTGGTAAACCCTCCCCTTAAACTCCCGAGTCAGTTTCTACGGTGCAGATTCCTGACATTTCTTCCCGTTGGAGATCTGCCGCCTCACGAGAAAGCTCAACCTGCTCTGCAAAAAGCTTACGCGATTCCCCTCAATGTGGAAAAACCACTGTGAAATCGCTTGGACCGCTGCACTCCATTCCACAAGCGTGTTCTTCTTGGACCGCTGTGAAATTGCTTCATCCACCAAATACCCACCCCCGGTGAAGTTGGTCGCAGGTACATCCCATATAAACCCAGCCTAAATCGGCAATATTGGAGAATCCCGATCCCTAAACTCCTTTGTTGCTTTCTCCTTCAGTGATTCAAGATGGGAGAAATTGATCCCACGCGAGTGAACCGACTTCCTCCGTTGGCCGTGCTCCTTCGTCGATGTAGCGCCAAACGTCGTCTCCGACCTCCGAAGTGTGCTCCTAGGAATAGAGCTTTCTGTTGTCGGTGCCGGTATCCATATCTTCAACGACGTCCGTCACAGTCACGTTTGGGGGTTGTCGAAGCAGATCAACCATTGTCTTCTTTCGGATCAAACACGGTAAGACCTTTTCTTTTACTGATTTACACTTCCATTGCCTCTGCATATGCCGGTGGATGATTACACTGCTAAATCTTCTCATCGTCGTTTTTATTGAGTTTCTGTTATTTGGATGTCGTTTACACTAAAGTACCAGCATGTTGACATGAAATTTATTTCACGAGGTTGTATGATTGTCGTTGCATACTTTTGTGTAGTTGTTTGAGTAATTAGAAGCTCTTCATACGCATTTTTGACAATCGAAATTAACACACTAGTATGAAGCATGTTTTGTTGTTTGAGTACTTAGGAAAATCTTGAGATGCAAATTTCCTTCCCTACATACAGTAGTGGTCCAACAACTTACACAAAAACAGAACTTTGATGCATGAAACTAGATTAATCAACACAGGCCAACTCTTTTCCGTAGCTTTGAAGGTTCTGCAAACAGAAAAACAAGTGGTATAAGGCACCAGTGAATTAAATTAAGCATAGGCCGATCCTGTGGTAGTGTGGAGTCTGTTAGGGTGGGATCCATTTTTTTTTATTAATGGTGGTCCTTTCAAACATTTTTGTCGATAAAAAGGTTTTTTTTTATTTTATTTTATTTCTACATCTTTTGGTTGTATTAGCCTAATAGGAAGAGGGTGTTTCTTCCCATATTATTTTTGATGAATTATTCTGTTCTGAGCCCTGCCTCCTAGTCTGGTGTTGTGTCGTTTTTGGCTCCGGTTTGAGCGTTTGTGTTGCTCAGTTGTCCTTCCTCTACTCTCCTGTTGTAGTCTTTCGACAATGCATACTTCCATTGTTTTGGCCCCTTTTCTTTCCAAAGAAGTTTTCTCTGCATTTCTGCTGACAAAAGTTGTTTACTTCGTTGCTCTTTGTATCCTTGTATAAGTTAACTGGCACCATGAAGTTTCTCATGATTTCATCAGTGAATGTGATTAGCTAAGAAGCGACTTTAGTGACAGAAACGTGATTGTTGCCCCTTACATTATCATTTCGCTCAACTAATGGCATATGATGGTGACTGACCTTTCTTTTTTTTGGGGGGGTGGGGGTGTGGATTAGTGGTTTTTTGCCACTCATGGCTCTCTTTTTTCCCTCTCAACTTCTTATTTTTGGGCGGCTCACATTCTCTCTTTCTCTCTTAAGCATGTGCTTGGATCCAATTTGCAAGTATGGTGGTTGGTAATGGATGCCCACCTTGTGAGCCTAATTGTGGGACCCCCTTCTGATGCTAGAGTTTCAATTCCCTCTAATTGTTTGTTTTGTTTTGTTTTTTTGGCTTGGCATCGCTTCATTATAGTGTGGCTTTCCACACACAATGATAATCTGATTATGTATGTGCCTGAATGTATTCTCTTTTCTGTTAGATATTAACTTGGTGAATTGTTGAGTTAAACTGTACTGTGTTTTTATTTTCTTTATGTTCTTTACCAGCTTTAACCCCTCAAAAATTGACCCCCCTAAGAAGAAACAAGGGTATTTTGTTTTTTCCCCCTTTCTTCTTTGCTTAACATGTGAATGTTTAGACTTTGATTCATTTACATTGTTGAAGACAAGGAAGAAGATCAAACCTTACTTAGAAACCGGAGTCTCTAGTGGCCGTGAATTTCACTCTTCTCACACTTTGGTTGACTGAGTTATACAAAATCCTATAACGATTAGTAATATCTATGTTAATGTATCGGAGAGTGAAAACACAGGGAGCAAAGAAAGGTCATTGAAACGACAAATTCTCACTGTTTTATAAAAATTTTCAGTTTCACAAAATTTGCAATATAATGTGATAATATCACAAGCTATTCGTTGTCGAACTATGTGTTACATTCTATTTACTCATTAGATGCCAAGAGAAAGACCTGACGATGAGTCCACTCTCCACTAGACAGAAAGGCAGAAAGAGAAGTTGTTTATGCGACTCGCTGACTACAATCATAATGCAAACGGACGGAAGCCTGATACTAAAGCATGGGAGGATTGGGCGAAAGACCTTCAACAGTTCTTTAATGATCAAGTCACTCCTGCCAAAGTAATGAAAGTCCGTCTCAAAGCCAAGTTTGATCATGAGCATATATTGAGGGATGAAATAACTAATAGTATGTGGGCTGTATATGAAAACAACCGGCGTTGATAGATTAGTTTTTCTGTATTACTTGGTTGCCTTTATAATTGCCCTCCCCAGATTGTTATATGTATATACATATATATACATTTATATATATATATATATATTCTTATAAAGAACAAAAATGCATGCCAATGTAGAAAATGCATGCTAGACGTATGCATGTCAATGTTGAAATTAACAGAAATGCATGTCAATGTTGAAATTAATTGGAGTTTGGCATTTGTGCAAGTGAACACAAAACTCAAGTGTCAAAAGTTAAATAGTCAACACCTAAACACTAAACTCCAAATTTCAAATTA